AAGGTTAGCCACTGTTAGCCCTAGTTCCATGAACGGTGCCAAATGTTAATGTGCACAGTGCCACGCTGTTGGTTAGACCTCAGGAACTCTTGGTAGAAAGGTTAGTATATCTGCTACGTTTTCATTCATTTTCAATGAAATAAATAGAATAAAATGGACAAACTAATGACAGTAAATACATGTTTTGGGTTTTTGAAGTAGTGCTTAGCCTGTTAAAATGAAATAGTTCTCCTACTTGAATATGAGTGAAAGAGGGGAAGGAAAATTGCCGTCATAAATCAGTCTGTCTTGATTGTGCAGGTCTTTTGGCTAAAAAGGCCGTGGAAGCTGGTCTTCGTGTGAAGCCTTACATCAGAACAAGCTTGTCTCCAGGCAGCGGGATGGTTACACATTACCTCAGTTCCAGTGGAGTATTACCGTATCTTAGTAAGCTTGGGTAAGTGAGAGTTCACACTTTATATTCACATTGGTAGTCAGCAAGTTATTGGAGCTATTTGTTGTGGCCATTCATAAGCAAATAGAAGGTAGACAGCCTTGGCTCTCCACAACTTTCTGTAGCTCATTTTGTTCTCATGCTCCTTCCCACACAGCAGCACTGACTGGGCATCCATTGAGCAAGGCCCCATGGTGGTCAGAGAGGAGGAGACAGTCCCTAGCCTCTGTCTAGGTGTTAGCCAACTACGAGATGGCAGTGACAGGCAGTTAAAGAGGTAGTGCTTCATAGCTGTGTGTTCCTGTAAATCAATGCAGAAAAAGACCTCCTGGGTTGCATAGACTGACTAATGTTCTTTAATTACAGTTTTGTGAACTTACTGGATCTGTCATACATTGGCTCAGTTGTACGTGAACTTGGTGGACAAATGTTGCTTACATTTCTTATATCATCAAAAAGTTAATGCCAGCTGTGTTTCTAATAAATATTTTACAACACCCCTCCCAAAAATCATTGATTCCATTGCAAGTCTGATAACTTTTAGATGATTTCTTCTTTTAGAAGAATAGGTGAAAGTAGTTTAGAGGATTATTTAGATGGAAGTCCAGTCCCATTGTTTTTTAAATGTCCTGTTATTTTCTTAGCAAGTATAAGAGGATCTTTGTTGTTTCGGGATAGATGCTTTCAGTATTTAGTTCAACAAATCTGAGCAGAGGATGTCTCAATTCTAGAGACCCCTCAGAGACCTGCATTCAGTACAAACAACATGCCCGAGAGTCAGACCAGTTGCTTAAAATGCTATGAAGTGAGCATCGCGGTGAAAGTTAGTGATCCATTGAGCATGAACCTGAAGGGATGGAAATGGAAGAGCAGATGTGGTGACGTGCTGCCCAATTCCATTTATCTTTTGAAATGCAGGTTTGAAGTAGTTGGCTATGGCTGTTCAACATGTGTGGGGAATACAGCACCCTTATCAGAAGCCGTTTTAAATGCAGTGAAACAGGTACAGTGTGTGGACCAGCACGATGCCCAAGAGAGCTCTCGTTACTAAATGACCTGTTCCTAAGGGTTAGCAAACATGCATTTCCATTCCTATAGTCCTGGCACCTCTGGAAAGAGCAGCCTCTGATCTGCAATCAGTTCCAAGAATCTTTTCTAGACACTTGTCAGTGTGCTTACACGATAAAAACATGTAGCTTTTTCAATTTGCAGGATTGATAGCTCTGAATCTAATAATTAATCAGAGACTTTGGGGGAACACCTTTCCCTCAGGACTATACTATGTGAAATTATTGATAGATGATTACTGACATTTACACTGTCTCTTGACTTGAGTACATCTGTTTGCATGCTTTGTTTGGGGGCTTGTTTTCTTTTTCTCCTCAGGGCGATTTGGTCACTTGTGGTGTTTTTTCTGGAAACAAACATTTTGAAGGTCGTCTCTGTGACTGCGTTCGTGCCAATTACCTTGCCTCTCCACCATTGGTGGTGGCCTACGCCATAGCGGGCACCGTCGATATCGATTTCCACAGCCAGCCTTTAGGTATTTCTTCCTCCTGGTTTTTAGAATGCTTCTTAGCAGCCATTCTGTTAAGTACTGAAGGAAAACTCAACATAGTGCACAGTAGCCTTCATTTCTGGGTTTATGTGGGAAATATAAAGTGGATAAGCAATTAGTTCTAGCTGCTTAAGCCTGAAGCATCTTGCTGTTGAATGTCATTGGAAAACACGAACAATTTGAGGGAGTTATTTTTTATACTGAGTGTTGTGTTAAATTCTTAACCAGGGACCGACTGTACGGGCAAGGACATTTTCCTGCATGACATCTGGCCCAGTCAAGAAGAGGTCCACCGGGTGGAGGAGGAGCGCGTGATCGTCTCCATGTTTAAAGGCTTGAAAGAGAAAGTAGAGGCAAGCGTCTCTTTTGTTTTTCAGTAGTTAATAAAGTTGTCGTCGCTTCTGAATGGAAGAATGAATTCCCCCCAAAGTAAAAAATGTGATTTGCATACAGTTTTTCGTAATAGACATTTGTATCTGAAATCCACAGTAAGAGAAGGGTGTGTATGGCTGTCTTTGGTTTCTGCCTGTGAAGTCTGTTGACTAGAAATGCACAGCAGGTGCTGAGCTTGGCATCCTGAAGGGGACACACATCCTAGAAACCTCCCTTGTTTGTCACTCCCATTCAGATGGTTCCGAATTCAAAAGAAATCACGGTCAACGGGGAGACCTCCCTCCTGCCTGACCGACTGTTAGCCCCTCTCTGGGGCACTGTGTGATGGTGGTTTCTTATGCATCTTTCCAGAGCCGTTTTATAAATATCCACATATTCTGTATTTTTAAAAAAGGAAATGTGATAGTGGAAAATGTATGTATTCACCTAAAAAATATTTATTGAGCCCCTCCTTAGTGCCAGGTGGGGACCTCGATAGAGCATTAGTTTGAACACACCAACCACTGCCTGGGAGAAAGACGTGGCGTTGGCTTCCTTAGAGATGACGGTCTTTGAAATTCTGTGAGGCAGCGTGGCACCGTCCTGCGGTAGGGGCACTATGCGTCACAAGTGACCTCACAGCGGTGGGTTTGATCTTCTAGTATTACTTGGGGAGACTGAACTGCAAACAGAGTAAACAGGTCAATTAGGCAGCGTGTTAGAAAGTAATGTGTGCTATGGGAGGAATGAAATAGACCAGAGAACCAAGAGTGTAAAACGTGGGGAACAGATGAGTTTCCATACAGCGAGGAGTGGGGGACCCCACTGAAAGGATGATACTTGATCAAGTTTTGAAGGCAACGAATGCGTCGTGCATCTATTTGGATAAAGAGCAGAACTTGACTGGAAGAGTTAACAGACAGTGGCCTAACAGAAGATAGTTCACATTAAAGCCCGTGTGGATGGAGCATTCTCTTAAGTAATGTTATCACTGCAGCGTCAATTAAAGATAACACTTGGCCTCTAGAATACTCGGAGATGCTTTCCAAACATACATATTTTTTGAAAGGGCAGGAAATTATGTCAGAAATTGGAGATTCAGACCCAGAAAACTAGGCCATGTATGACCTTTATCTTTCCCTGCCGTGAGCGGGAGAGCCATTGAAGCCTTTGGAGCAGAAGAGTGTTGTAACCGACTTGGAAGGATTGCTTTGTCTGCATATTGAAAGCAGGTGTGGGTCCTGGGTGGGGGAGGGGTGAGGAGGAGACTGGGTAGGAAACCATTCTTGGTGGCGTGGACTACTGGGATTTCAGTAGAGTTGGTCAAAAATAAGAGTTTTGGATACCATTTGAAAACAGGCCCTGTAGGTAGTAATGTTGGACAGGTGTAACGAGAAAAGCAGAGGCGTTTAAGGTAAGATCAGTCATTTCCTTGCTTCCAGCGGGAGATTGGCATTCTTCAGCATATTTCTTAATACTGGCTTTTAGGTAAGAGCATTGTCAAACTGCATCACTCTCTACCTTGCACTCTCCCAATCATGAGTGTCTTACTGAGACCAGGTTTCCTTCCCGATAAACATCCTTAAGCATAACGAGATGCTTGATTTCTGTTAGCAACGTACATCACTACCACTGAGGCAGTCCCGACTCATAGCAGCCCTACAGGAGAGACTAGAACTGCCTCTGCGCGTGTCTGAGAGTGTAACTCTTTACAGGAGTAGAAAGCCTCAATCTTTCTCCCAAGGAGTGGCTGGAGGTTTCAAACTACTGACTTTGGGGTTTGCAGCCCAACACGTAAACCACTACAATACCCGCAACACGTAGAGATCTTTCTAAATTCTTTAGCTTTGGGGGGGAAACTCTACAAAGTCCTTATGTTCAATTTATATAGATCAACTTTCACAGTATTCCTGAAGAACTGGTTTGCTGGGAATTGATGAGCACATCGTTTTTATTCATCGTGTTTAGAAACGTCACTGACGGCACTGTCTTCGTGCGCATTCCAAATGGCCAGGTTTTTACCCCTAACACAGTTCTCTTGGTTACTTGGTTATTCTCATGAGCCTTTTTTCTGACCCCATTTTATCTGTCTTTCGGTTCATCACTCACAGAAAGGAAATAAACGGTGGAATTCTCTAGAAGCACCAGATTCAGTTTTGTTTCCATGGGATTTAAAGTCCACTTACATTAGATGTCCTTCGTTTTTTGATAAACTTGTAAGTACTGCTTTACAATTTGATCTTCTACACATGGTTATGAACTTTTCTAAAAAACACCAGAACTACTAAAGAAATGCCTTGAATTTTTACCTTCTAGACCAAAGATCCGATTGCACTTCAGCCTATTGAGAATGCCCATGTTTTATTATACTTGGGGGACGCTGTTACGACTGACCATATATCACCTGCTGGAAGCATCGCTAGGAGTAGTGCGGCTGCTAAGTATTTGATGAACAGAGGGTACGTGCAGAGCCTGGGGGTCTCTTTAAGCATATATTTTGACCAAGAAATCTCTGGTCACCTACACTGGCACTGTGGGGATGCATGCAGGCTGCACAGTCTTCAGGCATCCTCAAACTACAGGCCGCCCAGGACATTTATCTGGCCCGCTGGGTGTTTTTTTCCCTGTTTGTTTTTTCACTTTTAAATAAGATATGTGTATTTATTGTGCACAGGAATTTTTTCATAGTTTTATTTTAAACTATAGTCCGGCCTTCCAACGGGTTGAGGGACAGAGAACTGGCCCCCTGTTTAAAAAGTTTGAGGACCCCTGATTCTACATAGTGAAACTAGGAAAAATGGCTCAGTTTCTTCAGATCAAATATAAGTGGGAAAACGAGGTCAAAGAAACCATGTAGATTAAGAGGCTTGAGATAAAGCAGCTGCATGAACGTAATTTGAAATTCTAATTTGAGCAAACCAACTATACAAAATAGCATCAGTGTATGGGGAAACAGGGAAATTTTAACATTTATTTTTTTGATGCTCTGAAATTGTTGTCTCTTATTTTTAACTGTTAAATGACAAGTTACCTGAGTTTGCCTTGAAGTAATCTAATTAGGTGGTGATTGTAAAAGAAACAAAGCCCATGGGTTGATTATTACAGCTGGGTTCTTAACACATTGGTGTTGGCCATTTCTGCTACTTTAGTACGTGCTTTAAACTTTTCATAGTAAAAGCCACTTTAAAGTAAGTCGTGGTTCAGTAATGTACTGTTACTTTGCGTAGTAAAAGCCATTTTAAAGTAAGTGTCACGGTTCAGTAATGTACTGTTACTTTGCATAGTAAA